ACGTTGCGAGTTTAGAAAACGATTGAATTGCCAGATTAGTTGAACTGGCGGTCATCTGAAATGTGATCATCACGCAGCGATTACTTTCAAAAGGATTCTCTTCTTCTTGAAGTTATTAATTTATTTTGTAGCGTTGCATGTCGAAGAGTAATTTGAAACTTTCAGCTGGTTCCCGTTAAAGATCTTCGATATTTGACATTAATGTTTCCGATGAAGGATTACAAAGACGAATATCGAGCACAGCCAGCTCACTACATATGTGAGTTGTTCGAAATTTTGTTGAGTTCTCATTTTTTTAAACTATAAAAAACTTTTAAAAACCTTAAAAACCTTTTTACTCAATATTATGATTTGAAGTGACGGTTTATTGTAAATATCTACGTAAATGTCCACGTAAATAAATGACTATATCCCCACCTAAATATTATGAAATTTCAATATCGACTAATTATTTTCTACGGCAAAGATGAGTGATTGCAGCACATTTGATCGGCCACGAAGGTCCAGGATCGTTACTCTCAGAACTGAAACGTCTGGGATGGGTGAGTTCGTTATCGGCTGGAGGTCGTTTAATAGCGAATGGATTCGGCGTTTTCAATATTTCTGTTGATCTAAGTGAAGGTTAGTTTCATTAGGTGATGCTGTTCAGTGATGAATGAATTTCTGATTAGTAAGAGTATATAAACAATTGCTTGCTTTTGAAAGTGACCTCAATAATCATGCGAATATCGATATTCATTGTTTTGGCATTCTTAGTTGTGGATTTTGTTGATTGAAAGCATTTTCAGAGGGGCTGAAACACACGGATGACATAATACGATTGATATTCAACGAAATTGGCCTAGTGAAATCGAATGGACCACTGAGATGGATACACGATGAGTTGAAGCAATTGGTTGAAACGAAATTCCGTTTTAAGGTTAGCTCTTTCATAGACAAATCGCTTGGTTTCATTGACTGAACATTCGAATAAATGTTGTGAGCTCTCATCAAGTGTCATCTATGACGTTGTTCATTATCATTAATGCAGGTTATAGTTGCATGATTATGATTACTGGTGATAACTGCATGCTGATTGACTTGGCAAGCATATTTTGATTTAAGGATAAGGAAGCACCAATGAATTATGTGACACAATTG